TCTTTCCCTTTCCTCCTTCCCCCATGCCACCTTTCCTCTACCAGGGTTGGGTTGAGGTGAGTCAGGGCCCCTTCCCCTCCCAGGCTGGGCTATCCCTCACCCCTCTTCATGTGGCCAGATATGGACCACCACACCTGCCTCAGAGCTACCAGCCAGATCCAGCCTGCAGATAGTGGGTACTTCCCATCCAGCTCACAAGACAAAAATGTTGAGTACCACTGATTTGTGCCATTGCCATCTAATATGACTGTTTGGAGGTGTTTATTCAATACCATATTATGACACTCAGATTTAACCATTCATATGCATGAGAGGTTAATACTTTGTTCATTTTGCAAGGTTGTTTGCAGTAAATACAACAGACAGAGATACATTATGACAATATCACAAAAATCTCTCCAAAAATACAATGCTCAAGTAAGAATATTTCTGAGCTGTCTATATTTTTTGTTTATTATGATAACATGAGTAGTAAGATATAATTTTAAATCTCCAGGGTAATTCCTAGCTTTATTGCTGAAATCAAGAAACACATTATCTGTCAGTACCTATCAGCTGTGCCCATGAACGTATATAGAGTTGTCCTATGTGGACATCATTTCCTGAAGTACTTTGTTAATAAACAAACACACAAAAACACTAGAAATACATTACAGGGAATATACCTTCACTTCAGGGTAATATATTCCTTCTTAAATGTTTGGCTCAGTGGATTTTGATAGATGTTTACGTATTATAACATTCTTTACAAAAATCTGTGATCACCACAGTTAATGGCAATATAAAGGTCCCAATCTTAAACCCAGTGCAGCCAGTCAGGGGGAGCAAAGACATGGAGAAGAATATTTAGACAGACTTATTATTCAAGTTCCCCATGAAATGTTATAAATAGTTTCATTCTTCTATACCAAACTCTCCTCTTTTTCTTTTGTATTTTTAAAGGTGTAAAATTTTATGGGAAGGAAGAAAGACAATAAGGGATAATTTGAATATATGCAAATCTGTGATTGCTGCCATTTTGTTTCTGCTTTTGGAAAAATACCTTAAGGGGTTCTCTGTAAAGGTTTTCTGAAGGGTTATTTATGATTGTTAGAGAAAACAGCTGTTTGCTTGAATTTAAAGTATTGCATATATGTCATTTACAGCATTATACATTCAATAAAGGATTGGAACTAAAAGTTGCAAACACTTTCCAAATGTTAGGGTTGCACAGTACAAATACCTAAGTCTGTACATCTGTAAGTATGCTCATCTTTCCAAAGAACAAAAGAGCAGCTTTTATGATTAGGGTAATATTGAAATGCTTCAACTTACAGAAATACTTGTCTCTCACATAAATCCAAGTATAATCTAATTTACATATCATGCTTCCCTTCCCCAAACTATAGCCTAAGAAACCTGCAATTTTTATCCATCTCTTGCTGGTTTTCTGGACTTTTTTTTCCATTTTAACATCTACTCCCCACTGAGGACCTAAGTCATTGCTAAAGGTAAAGTCCAGTCCTCAACAGATCTATATAATCTTCCACAAAATAGGCCACGTTCCCTTCTTCCTCCCTATTTGATAATAGCAGGACTCAAAATAGCCAGGGTAATGGATAGGGGTAGTCAGTATTCATGGAAAAATTATACTCGTGCAGCATGGGCCATCTCAAACAAAGATATAAGGTTCAATCAGCCAGAGGTAGCAGGGCATTGGGTTAATGAAATTTACACATTGTACTAAGTTGGAAACTGTAAGAAAACAATATAAAGGGGCATAAAGAGATTTGAATTATGGATAGAACATATATTGAAATGGGAGGAAATGTAATGCAAAAAGGGTGTCTGGGGACAATAATGAATAGCAAATTAGATACAAGCTTGCAATTCTGTATGGCATCAGAAAAGACAAGTGCAGTGTTGAACATTGTATGTAAAATCATTGCATCACAGAGCATGTAGATGTTATGGCACTGGTGAGACTGCACCTGGAATATTGTTTTCATTTTGGGCACATAAGTGACAAAAGGATATTGACATATTAGATGGAATTCAGAGAGAAACAAAATGAATGAGGGTGGGATGTTTAAAGAGAATGATCTTTGAAAAACTATGTTTAAAAAAGGTCAACATACCTGTATATATCTGGCTAGCTAAAAGGTAAGATAGAGAAAACCATTTATAAAAATAGCAAGAAACTTAAGAGTAACAGGATTACATTTTAAAAGGGGAAAATGTAGATAGATTTATCAGAAAAACTTTCTAGCGTACATGTCTAAGCTAGATAATTAAGTAGATTTCCACTGACTCTATTATTTGGGATTTTAAAAACCAAACTGGATAAAGTATGAAAAATATATGGTAGGGAGAAATTCTGAACTATAAGAGAAGTGGGACAATATGGCCTAAAAAGTCTTACCCACCTTTAATGTCTAAGTACAGTTTTGTACTGTTCAGCAGATATATTCAGTTTACTTATCCCCAGTTTGGCTTGTTGTACAAAAATCTGTTTCAAGAAAAATATAAGCAGGGGTGTGGTGCTGATGTCTATAAAATGCAATGCATTTGTGCCAAGAGCTGGAATTTCTACAACAGGCTTAGCAAAGTCGATTCAGTACAGATTTACAGGGAAGCCACAGGAAACTAGAGAATATTTTAAAGAACCATGATTCTGCTCTAATGTCCCCTGAAATCAGGGAGTCTTTCCATTGAATTAGATTGGGCCGTAGGTAATACTACAAAATGTAGTATCTGGTATTTTTTAGTTGACAACATTGTAGCTATTCATGTACATTTTGCTCACTAAAGCCACACACAAATTAAATATATGAGCACAGAAACCTTTATGTACAAACCTACTTACGCATTCATAGATTTTTTTTTTAAATCAAATGTTTCAGCATTTCACACAGAATTTTACAGTAAAAGATGGCTCACAAATAATTCATTAGTTAGCAGATCTTTTTTCGTTCTGCCTGCTAAATGACTGAAGTATTTTTTTTCTTTTTTGTTTGTTTGCTTGCATTAAGCTTTATAAAAAAAATAGCTTGTTAGAAATGGCTTTCTACTGAAAGAAACTGAAACTTGTGAAAATTGTTCTCATTAGAAAACTTGGGAAGTTATTAAGTCTGGTTACTTTTAAGAGCTATTTCAATAGGTTCTGAAAGCATTCAATTTATACATCAGAGATTGTAGTACCAGTTTAATTTATCCATACAAAGCTAGACTGATTACTACTGACTTACTCATGAAACATTAATAAAGCATTGTGTTCAATGCTAACATGATTATGGTATGACCTCAGTGATGTCACAGAGGACAGAAGCAGTAAGTGTCCCTGATAACATTACCCTAATGCTGGGTTCATCAATCATAATCTACCAGTTTACAAAAAAAAGGGGAGGGGGAGAGCAGGAGGGGGAAAGCGTGTGTGCACACTCTAAATCCTTCCACAGATGTACATCTGTAGTCTTACTCAGCCTCTCAGTCCCAGCAGACTTATGGTAGTCCTGAGAGCCAGAAACAAAACATATACAGGCAGTAAGTCATGCATGTTAAATTGAGGCAAGGAATTTTACTATGAAACATTGAAGGAGAGCTTTTTTTAATAAGCACAGTAATTTAAAAACAAAAGATGAGATCTGCTACAATCCAAAATTAGCTATAATGCTATTTTAATTATTGAACATGCACATATAATATTATAGATTAAGGTGCTGAGTGAAATGCATTTACTATAAATGATAGTTTTAGATTCTAATTGATGTCCTGTTTTTGTAATTCATATTTTGCTACTTGATATAAATTGTTTTCCTTTCTATGGAATGATTTATATGCGGATTTTTGGCTAATAGTTATAGTTTCTCACAATTCCACATCTATTCAGAACAATCTGTACTGTTTTATTGGTAA